GTCTGTGTGGACGGTGACACGTACGCCCCTCTGGCCACTTTTCGTCAGGAGCCGGGCTCTGGTCTGTACACCCTCCACACCGACACCCGTCCGGTTCCCCCGTCCCACCAGGTAGCCAGGTCCAGTCAGGTAGCTGTGCTAGGTCTAGTGGCTGCGTCGTGCTCGTGTCGGTCGCTGTCCCACCCTGCCCTCCTCTGGCACCACCGCCTTGGTCACCCGTCCCTCCCTCATCTCCGCACTATGTCCAGTCAGCGTCTTGTCTTAGGCCTCCCCCGCGACCTCCCGCCGCTCCCGCCGTCCCCCGCTCCTCCGTGCGGTCCTTGTGTCCAGGGTCGGCTGCGCGCCACTCCTCACTCCTCCTCCCTTCGTCCAGCCTCCGAGACCTTTGAGACACTCCACTTAGACGTCTGGGGCCCCGCTCCCCGGCTTGGACCTGAGCGAGAGAGCTTCTTCCTAGTGGTCGTTGACGACTACTCTCGGTACACCACCGTGTTCCCTTTGGCGAAGAAGTCCGACGTGACTTCTACGCTGATCCAGTGGCTGCTCGCCACCGAGAGTACTCGTCGTCGTCGTGTCAGTTGTCTCCACTCCGACCGTGGGGGTGAGTTTCGCTCCGGCATTCTCGCCAGATTCTGTGCTAAGCAGGGCATCACCCAGTCCTGGACTCTTCCAGACTCTCCACAGCAGAATGGGGTTGCTGAGCGCCGGCTAGGCCTGGTCATGGAGATTGCCCGCACCTCCATGATCCACGCCCGCGCGCCCCATTTTCTGTGGCCCTACACGGCTCGGTACGCCGCTCACCAGCTGAACCTCTGGCCTCGCGTCTCTCGGCCAGGGGCTTCACCGACCAGTCTTTGGACAGGGTCCCCTGGTGTTGCGTCGAGGTTTAGTGTCTAGGGCTGCTTGGCGCTTGTCCGCGACACCTCTGCGGACAAGCTCTCACCTCGCGGCGTCCCCTGTGTCTTCCTTGGTTTCCCTGAGGCCTCCTCTGACTTCACCTTTTACCACCCTCCCTCCCACCGGTTCTTTGACTCTCGTGACGTCAGTTTCGACGAGTCCGTCCCCTACTACGTCCGGTACCCCTGTCGAGGTCTCCCGGTTCCCCCCCCTCCCCTCTTCCTCGCCCCAGCTCCTCCTCCTCCCGCTCCCTCTCCTCCGGTACCCCCCCCGGTTCCCGCTCCGTCAGGTGTGTCGCAGGCTACCCCCCCTCCCTCGGTCCCCCCCCAGGTCTCTCCTCCTTCCCCACAGTCGTCCTCACAGCCTCCGCAGCAGCCGTCGGCGCTTCCTCTCCCGGCCACTGCGGACTCTGAGGGTGTTGGTGCTCGAGGTGAGGGCTCTGGCGGTGCTGGTTCTGGGGGTGTTGGAGTTGGAGCTGAGCGTGCACCTGCCGCAGCTGCACGTCCCGAGCGTGTTGGAGTCGGTGGTGGTGCTGGAGCTGGTGGTGTTTCTGGAGCTGGAGAGTCTGGGGCTGGTGCTGGTGCCACTGGCGGCGCCACGACTGGGGGTGCGGGTACACCTCCTACAGGTACTGGTCGTGCTGCCGCAGGGGGTCCTCGCTCTGGGGGTGCTCAGCCGGGTCCTGTCGAGGGTGGAGCCGGTTCTTCTTCGTCGTCTCCTGACACCACTCCTCCTCCTCACCCCTATCCGACTCGTTACCAGGCCCTTCGTCGTCTAGAGCGTGAGGAGCAGCAGCGTTTGGAGCGTGAGAGGTCGGAGGTTCAGCAGCGGGTGGAGCGTGAGCGGTTGGAGTTTCAGCAGCAGCAGCAGCAGCAGCAGCCGCAACCACAGCCACAGCAGCAGCAGCAGCAGCAGCAGCAGCCGCCGCAGCTGCCGGAGCAGCCTCCGGCCCCTGTTTCTGGCCTTCAGGCCCTTGGTCTCCCCTCCTCTCCTCCTGTGTTCGGTCCCACGTTTCCTCCTCCGGACTCCACTCCGGCTGTCTTCCCTCGTTCTCAGTCTCCTCCGTCCCCCCCTCCTCTCGCCCACACTTGGGCCTCTCGCCCTCCTCGTGCTCGTCCCTCGTCCCCTGTCACTGACCTCCGTACCGTGTTGTTTCGTCCTCGTCCTCCTCGTTCTCCTCCGTCTGTCCTTCCTCGTCCTCCTGAGTCTTCCCTCACTTCCTCCCTGTCCACTCCGGTCACTGACTACTACCGCACGTACCGCCCCACTCTCTCTCGTGTTCTCGCCTCTCTTGTTACAGACCCTCGTGCCTCTCCTTCCTCCGTCGCGGTCCTCACTGCCGCTGTCACTGACTTTACTGCTACGCGTCGCCTTGACTACGCCACTCGAGTTGTGGCAGCTCCTCCTGTCCGTCCTCTGTCCGCCGGGGGTGTGTGTGCCCTTGGCTGTGACGTCCTAGAGGACAGACAGTTTGAGCTAGAGTTCCTGGCAGCTGCTTCGCCTCATCTCTGTGCCATGCTGCTCACTCCTGAGGGAGACCCCGACGCTCCTGACATACCTACTCCTCGCACTTACGCTGAGGCAGTGTCAGGGCCTTGGGCCTCTCAGTGGAGAGCTGCCATGGACGCAGAGATGGCCTCCTACAGGTCCACAGGCACTTACGTTGACAAGGTTCCCCCCCAGGGGCGAACATTGTTGACGGCATGTGGATCTTCAAGGTGAAGCGGCCGCCGGGATCTCCCCCAGTCTTCAAGGCACGCTACGTGGCTAGAGGGTTCAGTCAGCGCGAGGGGGTTGACTTCTTTCAGACCTTCGCGCCCACCCCGAAGATGACCACTCTTCGGGTGTTACTGCACGTAGCAGCGCAGAGAGACTACGAGCTACACTCTCTTGACTACTCCACTGCCTTCCTCCAGGGCTGCTTACACGAGGGGATCTGCCTGCGTCGTCCTCCGGGCTTCACTGGCACTTTCCCGCCTGGGACCCAGTGGAGCCTCAGACGACCGGTCTACGGTCTCCGCCAGGCACCCCGTGAGTGGCACGACACTCTCCGCTCTACTCTCTCCGACCTCGGGTTTGAGCCGTCTTCCGCCGACCCGTCGCTGTTTGTTCGTCATGGCCGTACACCTTTCTTCGTCCTAGTCTACGTTGACGACTTGGTTTTTGCCACGGCCGACACAGCTGCACTGGCGGAGGTGAAGTCCGAACTGCAGAAGAGACACACCTGCACTGACCTTGGGGAACTGCGCCGCTACCTTGGCCTGCAGATCTCCAGGGACAGAGCCGCTCGCCCCATCACTCTCACTCAGTCACACATGGTGCAGCAGGTTCTTCAGCGGTTCGGGCTTCAGGACTCTTCTCCTGCCCCCACTCCTCTTGCTGTAGACCACAGACTCACTGGGCCTTTTCCTGACGAGCCGTTCGAGCCCAGTGGTCCCTACGCAGAGCTGGTGGGCTGCCTCATGTACCTGATGACGTGCACTCGCCCGGACCTCGCCTTCCCCCTTAGCATCCTGTCTCGCTTTGTTGCGACTGGGAGACACCGTCCTGTTCACTGGGCGGCGGCTAAGAGGGTGGCGAAGTACCTTGGCGCGACATCAGGCATGGGGCTTGTACTTGGAGGGACACAGCCAGTTGTACTCACCGGTCACTGTGACTCTTCCTACGCTGACGACATTGAGACTCAGAGGTCTACGCAGGGTTACTGTTTCAGCCTGGGTTCTGGAGCTGTTTCGTGGAGGTCTACTCGGTCCTCCTCTGTTGCGACTTCTACCGCAGAGGCCGAGATCTACGCTGGGGCCCTTGCTGCTCAGGAGCTACGCTGGTTGACCTTTTTGCTCACTGACCTTGGTGAGCGGCCGAGCTCTGCACCGACCCTGTTTGCTGACAACAGGGCGATGATTCTCCTGTGTCGTGAGCCTCGACTGGAGAGCCGAGTGAAGCACATCGACGTCAGGTACTTCCTCCTTCGAGAGTTGCAGAGACGCTGACAGGCTCGTCTGGACTTTGTGGCCTCCGAGGCCAACACTGCAGACATCTTCACCAAGGCCCTCCAGCCTTGTGACCACCGTCTGTTTTGTCTGCAATTAGGCCTCGTTGAGACTGGGTCTAGTTGACTGCTGTAGGGTGCTCTTTGTCTGTTGCTTGCTTGTACCTTATATATATTTATATTTGTTTGCACACTTTTGGACTGGCCTTGTGGCCCTTTGCTTGTGCTCAGATTAGGTGGTGACGTTGTGATCCACCCTGAGCTTTGTTTTCTTTCTCTTGTTTTTGACTGGTCTTGTGACCGTAGGTTGCTTGTTGTTGATTGGCCTTCCCCACTTAGGCTATGGGGGTGTGTCAAATATTATAGCCTGTAGTGGGTTGGGCTATATGGGGTACAACTAGTTAGGGTTAGGTGATGTACCCCAATTCTGTCAACACAACGCATTCCGCTGTAGTTCTCATCCTGACACTCTGTACCCGCTGGGTAATTTTTTTGGGACTTCCGATTTCTCTGATTTGTCAGAGTTATGCTGTAGTTTACTCTGAGGCCTCTGGGTTTTTTTTTCGGGGACCGAATTTACTCTACCGTCATCGCCCGGATAGAAGACATATATGTCTTATCTTATACATTGGAAAAAATGCTTGCTGTGTCTTATATTTGGGACGGTTTGGGGTGTCTTATAATTCTTATAAATAGGCAAAATATATAAGAACCATGTAACATTCGGAAAGACTGTAGAAACCACCCACGGGGCGGATTAATTGAAAACAGCCACATTTTGATGCGATTCATGCGCCGCCACCTCGTGCCACGTGATGAGAAGCATCAATGCTGCTTGTGCTGGCAGAATTCCGCCCTGCTGGCAGCATCTCATGATGCTTCTAGTGTCGTTTTGCTGCCAGCAGGGAACAGAGCCTTCTAGAACGCTGCCAGCAGCACAATGGCAGCATCCTGCCATCCTGAGTTGTCCTCTACGAGCAAATTTGCCGTAGAGGAGCGGCTCGTCTTCCAAGGGGGGGGGGCACTCTGGAATGGGGGGTAGTCGAGGTTGAGCTTCATTTTTTGCTCGTGAAACTCGAAAGTGGCTCAATCTTAGCTCTAAGCAGGCTCTATCATGCGTAGTAAGCATCCTGCAAGCGCGCCGTCTCCTCTCCCTAACGTCCATGTTACCAACTATGGGCGCATCAACTCGCCCGGTGACGACATCCGGGTAGACATGGCGAAAGAGAAGCGCCAACCGGCGGGGAGCTCCAACGCCGGCTCTGGCGCAAGTTGTGACGAGGAAGAGGGCAACGAAGACGCCGGCGACGAAGATCATGGCGACGAGGACGAAGAGGACTGCCCGGAAAACGGCCACGACGACAGCGCATCTGGTGACGAGGTGCCTGCCGGAGGCATCGACGATGACGACTGGTGGATGCAGCCGATAGGCTCCGGCGACGATGTGGAGGAGTGGCACGCCGGCGACGATGACGATGACGGAGGCGCGGATGCGGTTGCTGATGCGGCGGCGGATGCGACGGTAGAAGCTCAGGCGGCGGGTGCAGATGCGGAGGCGGAAGCAGATGCGGATGCGGAGGCGGATGCAGATGCGGATGCGGAGGCGGATGAAGATGCGGATGCGGAGGCGGATGCAGATGCGGAGGCCGAAACAGGCGCAAATACGGCTGCTGTTGTGGTGGCGGAGGCGGGTGATGGCCGTGATGCTGTCTTCTTCGAAGGCGAGGACGACGCGGACGACCCATGGCGCGTCTCGTCAGATGATGACGTGCCTCTGTTGAAGAGGCGGCTGCGTCACAGCCTAGGCGTGTCCCGGAAAAAAACCCGGGTGCTGCTCTCGGACGACGACAGCCCGGATGAGGAGCGGCGACCCCGCGTCCCTGCTGCTGACAAGGGGAAGGCTAAGGTGGTTGAGGTTCCTGCTAAGGTCGCCCCTCGCGTCGGACAGAGCAAGAAGAAGTGGAAGGACGATGGCGACCCGGGTTCAAGCAAAGGCGCGAAGAGGCAGAAGAAGAAGGCTGTCAAGAACAAGGACGACATCTTGGTAAATGAGGCGCAGGGCAGTGACGACGACTACGCGGAGGCTGCAGGCCCCATGCCTTCATTCCCTGAGAAGGCGAAGCCAAAAGACCCCACCATCTGTAATGCTAACTCCCGCCCCCCTTCCCCACGCAGTCGCGGGATTAAACGGACCAGGCGGAGCTGGTCCGTGCGCGAAAAGGTGAAGTGGGCGCGTCGCTACGCGGAGCTCGGCTCCCTCAAGAAGACCTCGGCCGAGTCTTCGGCGAGCATCGCGTGCATCAGACGCTGGAGCGCGCAGGCTGCAGCGGGCATGTACAAGGGCGCTGCGAATTCTCGCAAGCGCATGCATGGGGCGGGCCGCCACTCACACCACCCCGACATGGAGGCGGCGCTATACCGATACATCTGCCTGCATCGCGCGAATGGGGTGGCGATCTCGGTCAAGGACACGCAGAAGTGGAGCCGGGAGTGGATGAAGAAGCACCACCCCGGGAAGAACTGGAACGCGAGCTCCCACTGGAGCCAACGTTTCCACGACCGCTGGAATCTCGTCATGCGGGTGAAGACAAAGGTTGGCCAGCGGTTGTCGGCTGGTGAGTGGTTCTAGGCTGTGAATTCACTGCGCATTGTCAACTCCTTGTCCTTACCACGATATAAACTTGCATATCCCGACTCATCCCATCCTTGTGTGTGTTCTTTTGCCTTGGCAGAATGCGCAAAAGACTGCGAGTCTTTTTGGAAGTTCGTCAGGATCAACAGGGCGCGGCACAACATCGACCCAAGCCGCATCATCAATGCGGATCAAACGCCCCTCTTCGTTGAAATGCCGGCCGAGAGGACCCTTGACCACCGTGGTGCGCGCTCGGTCCCGATCCGCACGGCCGGCTACGAGAAGACGCGGCTGACAGTGATGCTCGCGTGCACGGCATCCGGGGAGAAGCTGCGGCCGTGGGTTTGGTTCAAAATGAAGAACGTACCGAGGTGTGACGTCCCCGCTGGTGAGCTAAACGAATTTGGGTTTAGGGAGACCACCGTGGCCCTGTTTGGCTCACTCCCCTATCTCCCTATGTGCCTGGCAGGAGTGGTGGTCCAAGCACAGGACAACGGTTGGATGGACGAGACCGCTGTGCAGACTTGGCTGACGAAGGAGGTGCTGCCTCATCTCAACCCCCAGCGGGGCCAGTGCGCACGGCGTGCGATGCTGGTTCTGGATTCGTACCGCGGCCACATCACCCAGGGCATGCTTCGCGCCTATCGCACGCACAGCATCACTCCGGCTGTAATCCCTGCAGGTTGCACCAGTCAAATTCAACCACTTGACGTTTCCATCAACCGGTGTTTCAAGGCCGGGGTGCGAGCTCGCTACGCTAGGTGGTTCATGCGTGAAGGCCTTTACCTGAAGACGAAGAACGGTGAGTCCACTGTCGGTGATCAGTAAATGCCTGCCAGTGTAACTCTTGATGTACGGTATCTGACGGCACGTTTGCTCTGAATGTGACCCACCCGCAGGGAACCTGAGGAGACCCCCGCATCCCGTGGTGCTGCAGTGGATAGCGGAGGCGTGGGATCAAGTCCCTAGGCAGGTGATCATTGACGCGTTCCGTCACTGCGGCATCTCAAGCAAGCTGGATGGGACCGAGAACCATCTGGTGATGTCCCACCTGCGCGCCAGGAGCACCACCGATGTCACCGAAGACATGTGCCTCGGGGGCACCACGGGCGACAACACGCGCCTGCTTGGGAAGGCTCCCGAGGAGGAGGAGGAGGAGGAGATGCAGGCGGAGGGCGTGAAAGAGGTGGCCGTGGCCACCGGCCTGGAGGTGCTGTACCAGGAGACCCCTCACTACCGGGGAGCGGCGGCCGAGGCTGACCGCATGATCGAGCCCGTGCAGACAGCCAGGCACGCCTGGCGAGTGCCAGACTTGGGGATGCAGGAGCCACCATCTACTAGTGCAAATGAGGGCGTAACAGAGGGGGGCTAGGTAGAAATAGTAAGATTGGATAAATGCATGCATGTACCCCCCCACCCCTGAATGCAAGAACCGATTATAAGACACCCACCCCCTTTATAAGGAAACCCTAAACCCTAGCACTGTTTAGTAGGCACTGTCTTAAGTCGTACACGCTTGTAGGTGGCTTATAATCGGAAGCACCCAACTATAAGAAACACCCGTATTAAAGACACCCCCTGTCTTCAATTCGACACTGTCTTCTATCCGGGCGATGACGGTATATAGGGAATACCTGCCGGCCCCCCCTCCCCCGCCCCCCTCCCCTCCCCACCTCCCCCTGCGTTTAGCGGGTTTTCCCCGAATCGTCGAGATCATTCTCTTGATTTCTGTCGTGTGTTGGCGGCAATATGAGCGCTGATTGGCTACCGTAGTTTGACAACTTTCCCAACCAGCGCACGATGCCAACCAGTCCCCTCTCTCTTTATATCTGAAGTGAACGTCGACGTTTCCCGACGAAACTTTGAGGGACGTCGAGGAATCCTGACGGTCGGAACGCTCAATCCGAGGGTTGAGATTGGCCAGCATTCCCCGACGAAACTGTACATCCGTCGACATTTCACTTCAGACACGCTCTTAGTCAGATTATCGGTGCCGCCAACACCTCACTCTGAAACATCGCAGTGAGGGGGGAAACGTGGGCGACGCGGAAATGAAACACAATGCAAGTACAAAAGGCGTAACAAAAACCTATTAAGGTCATGGTACACCAACTTAACTATCATCAGAGTAGAGAAAAATATTACTCTGACGTGCCTGGGTTTTTTTTTTTAAGTATAGGGTTACTCTGACAAATCAGAGTAAGGCGCAGGAACAACCCTAGATTTCAGAGTTGGGAAAAAAACTACTCTAGAAATCAGAGTACCCAAAATCCAAAAATAGGCCCTGCAGCCAATCTCTTGGGTGAAGAAACGATATCACCAGAGCCCTTTATCTTCATTCGAATGTCCTCACTATAATGCTCTCGGTTCTTGAATTTCCTGAGAAACAGCGTACCATATTACATTGTAGAGAGACATACCTACATATAATAGCTATTTAAAACATGGGGGCCTTATTGCCAGGCTAGTGCGAGTGAGCGCCTTCAATTAATATCGCGTCCGGTTATCCATGTTAGCCTGCCGCTGCTCTGCTGCCTTGAAGGCGGTCTGCTGCTGCTGTGCTGCTCTTTTCTCAAGAGGCTCGAGCTGGAGAGGCAAAGTAGAGGGCGCCATGCACACTCCTTGGATGGCGGGGTATCTGTCCCCTGCATCTGGATACGAGTGCAGTCACACTCGCATGCAGCAGCAGATAGTATCTAGTAGCCTGGACCCACTGAAGACTCCGAGCCGTGTTACTAGGTTCGACGCACACGCAGGTAGCATGCCGCAACCACCCATGAACAACGGAATGTACCCGCCAATAATGACAATCACGCGTTTCCAATCTTGATGTCTTTAAACTTGATGACGTAAGGGATGTCCTTGCCGCTCCACGTGCCGCTCCACCAGCCATTTGAGATGCTCGATGCGTTCCACATGGAGGCGTATGCGAACATGGGCTTCACAGGCCACGCATCCGCCTGCGCGCGCTGCACGTCACGCACCATCTTGTTGTCAATGAACCACCTGATGGGACGAGGCACAAGGACAACCAAACAGGAAACAGAGAGACGGTGTGAGACGGTGGATGGAGAGAAACGGGAAAACGGGAACCCACCCACAGAGCACGGGAGGAGGAGCGGGGGCGGCGTGCGTGAAACCCGCAGCGCACAGAGCAAAAATGCTGGAGCAAAGAGCACGCGCTAGTGGCGGCAATACTCACTGCAGGCGGTTGGTGGTCCAGAGGAGCGTGTAGTTGTGGAACCCCTTGGAGCAGTCAAAGCCGAGCGGCACGAGCACCTCGCGGCCGCCCTTGCCGTTGACGTAGAAGTTGGTCTGCACGGCCGTTTTGTCCTTGCCCAGCCACTCAAAGTCGATCTCGTCCTGCTCCTTGTTGCCCTCCTCCGATGATAGCTGCACGGGTACGGGGTATGAGACGAGGCAGGTGGGTGGGAAACTCGGTGGGATGCACAGGCTTTGGTGTTACTGTGTGGATGACTGCGTTTCAAGGGCTGGAAGCAGGGAAACCAAAATGATGGAGACGAGCACAGCCCTTTCAGGAAATCCACTCACGTAGAATGCAGACACGAGGCCGGACGTGTTCCCAGCAGGGCACTGCACGAACGCCGTGAACACCCCCGAGTAGTGCCGCACCGTCGAGTGGAACCGCCCTCCGCACCCCTTGTCGTCGAACGTGATACTCTGATACCCCTTTAGAGTCACCACGTGGTCCGAGCAATAGTCAATTGCGATTGGCCACAGCGGCCCGCGGCCGATTGCCGACCTGGGAACCGAGGCGCCATTGGTTAGGTCCAGCGGAAGGCCAAAGTTGTATGACGGCGCGGGGACAACCGCGGAGGTGTCTTTATAAGAGACGACGTAGGGCGCGTCGGCGTTGGTGAGGTAGCCGGCCTGCCAGGCGTACGAGTATTTGGCGGTGTCGTATATGGACGCGTAGAGGTACATGGTGGTGGACACGGGGAAGGGCGATAGCATGTTGCGCGACGATACGCGCAGGATCAAATCGTCGTACTTCCAGCTGCAGAGAGGAACGAGGAGCGGGAGAAATGGAAGAAATGGGAAAAAAAATATTTAAAAAATCGCTATAAGTGAATGTGACACGCTAGCAAGATCGAATGAAGTACAACGCGGGCAAAGCACACGAAGCACTCCGCTTCCCACCCGCCATCGCAATTCCGTTTCTTTCCGCCCTCCGTCTCCGTCCTCTGTCCCCGACCGCGCGCCCATAGCCCCCCGACGCGTATGTGCGACTTACACAATGAGGCGGCCCGACCACATGATGCTAATGGTGTGGTAACCAGCGGCGCAGTCGTTCCCCACCTCCACCTCGTGCGTCAGCCCCGACTCGCCGTCCACCAGCGTCAGGCACCGCACGCGCGTGCGGTCGTTCCCGAATATGCTCATCAGTATCGAGTCCGTTCCAGGGCCGCCTTCTATCGAGGATAACTGTATCGGGCGGAAGAGGCCAGGAAAGCACACGGGAAGGGAATCACGAAAGAGATTGGGTGGTGACAAAAGCACGAGAGGAGAATTGACCAATGCGTGGGAATGGGGTCCAGTACGCTACAAGATGTATGTAAGCAGCCCATGTGCGCGGTGCGAGGCCAGACCAATGGGGCTGTGTTCCCATCGTGACTTACGTAGAATGTAGTGTCGAGGCCGCGCGTGTCGCCCTTGGCGCACATGAGCTTCGCCGTGAATACGCCCGACGGGTACGTGAACGCCGAGTGAATTCGCGCCCCCAGCGTGCCGTTGAACGTGAGCGTCGTCACGCTCCCGGGCAGCTGCCGCATCAGGTCCGCGCCATAGTCAGGGAACAGATCCACCGTTCGATCGGTCATTGATCCGACGGCCGTCACGGTTAGCTTCCCGCTCTGCGTATAAGCCGCAATCTGCTTCTGCAGCACCGTGCCCACGCCACTGAGTCGAATCATCGTGTTTTCCAGCTCGCGAAAGCCGACCGTGTAGGCCTCGCGATCGCTCGTGCTAGTTGACTTCCTGTTGCGCATAGTCACGCCGAGTCTGCTCTGGCAGACCGCCACAGCCCGTGCCACCTGCGCAACCTCTTTCCGCGCCATAAATATGGCTCGGCGGGAAAGCTGGTTAGATACTAACTTGCTGCGCCGGATTGCTTCCGTCAGTGGCGCCCGACAGAAGGGAACGACGGTCGGCACCTTCTGTAGCGCGAGCTGTAGCGATGCTGTGGATACGCGTATCAGCGTCTGTAGCTGGCTGACGCTGCGCGCCGAGTAGGACGATACGACTAGTGCGTCGATCGTCTGAGAGCGTGAGACTGATCGCTTCCCCGGCGTACCCGCTGCTTCTGCTTGTGCTGTGTGAAACCAGCCCGAGTCGGCGGTCGATTTGTTTTTGCTTTGCGTGTTGCCGAATCGCGGGTCCACGTAGTGGTGGTCCCCTGGCGTGCATCCTGCTCCAGTGCGCGTATCGCAGCGTTGGATATACCTTTTGCGGCTCGACTGCGACGTGTCCTGAGCGCTACTTGTGCTACTGAGGAGACTAAACGGCCACATGTAGCCGAGTTCACGGCCTCTGTGGGTGACTTCTGATTGCAAGTTACTCGAGCGAGCATTTTCCGATAGTGACGTTCCCGGTATGGGATTGCTGCTGGAAGCACTTGGCGGTAACCGCTGACTTGTGACATAGCGCTGGCTGATCGAGAAAGCTATGAGGATGAACAAGGCGACTGGGAAAATGGACCGCGAAGAGATGCTGCCGCGACGTGGCGGCGACCAGAGAGGTGCGCGCTGACGATCTAATTGACGATGAGCATGGCTGGCGAGTTTACCTGCCATTTCTAAACCTTGTGACTTCTGTCGTTGCACCTGACTACTGCGGGTACCTTAAGTTACTACCGAACGATATTGACAAGAGACAGATTTCAGGGCAGGCAAGACTACAACAAGCTACTGCGTGCTGCGTTCCATAGAACCTTGGTGACCGCTGAAACTGTCGGCCATAGTACCCAAAACGATCTACCTTAACCTTACTACCTGAGAACAATAGGTATTGACTTTGCCGTATCCACGGACGACTGGCAGTACGGAAGGGGCGCGAAACCATTTTATGATCTCTCTACTTCCTAAGTTTGGTGAGACTACGGTTGCTTGGTTGGTTGGTCGGTTGTTGGGGAAGTCTTTCCTTCCAATGTGGCTTGACCATCTCACTTCGCTTCCCTCATCCAACAGATGGGCCAATTTTGGGTGGGCTATCCATCAACACGTAATTCGCCCCTTTGCCAGCTGCGCCAACACATCAATTCGCAATTCCCATGTTCAAAGCACTCCAACATCCGCGCCACGGAAGAACCTGCGGCTTCGTCAAGCCAATGTTGAGGTGGAATTGATGGTTGCG